CTGAGTTCAGTGTGTCCGTTGGTGGTGATGTCATCACCGGTTGCCAATCCCCTTCCTCCAGAGACTCTCTGAGTTCAGTGTGTCCGTTGGTGGTGATGTCATCACCGGTTGCCAATCCCCTTCCTCCGGAGACTCTCCGAGTTCAGTGTGTCCGTTGGTGATGATGTCATCACCGGTTGCCAATCCCCTTCCTCCGGAGACTCTCCGAGTTCAGTGTGTCCGTTGGTGATGATGTCATCACCGGTTGCCAATCCCCTTCCTCCGGAGACTCTATGGCGTAGGTGAACACACCGGAAGGAATTGTTTCGTCGTCGTCGTGGTTTGGAATTCGGTTACTTTGTTACACCGATTTGACTTTTTTTACATCGTTTTTTTCTGACGCTTTGAAGTGTAAAACTAAAGACGAGATTGGTCAGCAACGCTCTGCCGCTACATCAGTTCACTTCCAATTGGCTGGTAACGGACTGTAAGGCCGCCGCCCACTTCCTGTCTGACCTCGCAGAGCGCGGCTTATTATATAAGCTTGTCCCGGCGCTCTCTGGTCAGTGATTGGACGGCGGGGGTCTGAGCGCGCAGCATGACGGCCTCGGTTTGGTATTGAAGGCCGATCCCAGCCTGGCACTTTAATGAAGGGTGCGGTCACTGGCCAATCAGCTTCCACTCATCACATGACCGCATTTGTGTCACGTGCTCCCGCCCTGTGGGGGAGGGGCTTGTGATGTGACACAGAGACATTAATGCTTCCTACATATAAAATATTCACAGGCGTGTAACACGTGGGGGAGGGCGGGGGGGTGCAGGTATCAGACACACATGATGACAAAGCAGATTCACGTGTACGATCCTCATCATCATGTATGTCAGCTGTGAACCCGCACTAAACCTCTGCCATCACAGGAGCCCGTGACAATCACATGTAACACGTCGTGGCAGCTACAAGCCGTCATGTTATACATGTAGCACACGCTCTTCCACTTCTCTTAAAGAGGACCTGTCACAAAGGACATTCCAGCAAAGGCTCCTCCCCCGTGACCTCTGCGTGTTCCGGCACCAGCTCCTGACAGTCACGTGTCCGTCTTCCGGATGGACTCCTACAGGGAAATCGTCCGCGGTTACGCTTAGTATGATATCATCGAACATTGCATTACCAGCCAATCCCCAGCCTCCATTATCACCAGCCAATCCCCAGCCCCCATTATCACCAGCCCCCAGCCCCCATTATCACCAGCCAATCCCCAGCCCCCATTATCACCAGCCAATCACATTCTATGTTACTCTTCAGTCTATGTGAAGTTGCCAATGGTATAGAGTGTGCCGTGTGTAGATTGAGGGACATTCGCTGTCGGCCGTGCCTGGGGGGGGCCCCATCCATTTCCATCACTGCCCCATGCAGCCAGATGAGCCCGGCGTTCAGGGGCCACTCTGTGTCCGCGCTCTGGGCAGGCAATGAGCTTGTCCATTGGGGGACACGAGGTGGCCCCGGGGCTCTGATATGTCACATGTCGCCCCGATAACACCCAGTCACAGCTTACGTCCTCATTACCTCCCTGCTCCGTGTCCTCTGAGGGCAGATTTGGGGGACCCCCATTACTGGGGGGGGTTAAGACACGTGCCCTCCACCCCATAACATTCTCCTGTGTGATGTCGCCCGTTCCTCCCAGTCAATGGCGGCCGATTGGGCGATAAAACATCTTTCTGCCGGGTATGGGTAATGACGCCATGGCGGGTGGAAGGCCGGAGGATGGTCCCGGGGGGGTATCATATAGAAGTGACCTCCCACCAGCGGCCTCGGTGTTGGCGGGGCGGTTACCTGGGACAATTCGGTGGTTTGTGTGATGGTCTCCAGTGTTAGGAGCCAGCACAGGTAAACAATCACTGCGCCTGCACTGGGGTCCTTGGTGTCCATGGTGTGGTCACCTGACAGGTGACAGTGATGTTATTGTCTGTAGTCTCCCTCACCTCACCAGCACCTCATGCCACATTATAGAGGCTTTGGGGCCCCTGAGGGACTGTGAGCCGGGCCCCGAGCTTCCTCCTGTTGTCTGAGCCCCCTTGTTTACATTGTACCCCCCCCCAGATGAAGCAATGAGAACACTGTGAGCCACTGTGCGCCCAGGAGATCAGTGTACATTGTATGCACCGCCAATACCACTGAGCGACTCTTCTCAATAAATACTTTGTTTATAAAAGAAAATGGCTGCCGTCTGAGTTAGGGGGGAGGGGATTGTAGTTCCCGGACCGCGAGGGGAGGGGATTGTAGTTCCCGGACCGCGAGGGGAGGGGATTGTAGTACCCGGACCGCGAGGGGAGGGCGGGTCCTTCTCTTTCATTAAATATGTAAAAAGAATTATAATGAGGTGAAGATGTCAGAGAGTGTCTGAGACTTCCCCTCACCGAGACCTCCCCTCACCGAGACCTCCCCTCACCGAGACCTCCCCTCATCGAGACCTCGACTCACCGAGACCTCCCCTCACCGAGACCTCCCCTCACCGAGACTTCCCCTCACCGAGACTTCCCCTCGCCTCACAGAGACTGCGGTCTGTCAAATCTACAGAGCACCAGAGTCATCCCAACAGGCATTGCCTCCGACTATCGTTCATACAGACACCCCCCGCCATCAGAGAG